TGCAGAGCCACGTCTTCCAGTCTTGTGCGAAACCCCAAATCTTGTACAAACAGAGTCTCCTTGGAGCCCCCTACTTTGGGGCTCAGGGGAGGCAGCATTGACAGTCTATTTGACTTTCTCACCTCCTCTTGACTTGCTCAGCACGGAGCCCCAGCAACTCGTGGGGCATCTTTGAACCAGAGCCATGGAGTCCTGGCTCAGTCACACTGAAAGGCCTTTTCATGCAAAACACTGACCCGATGTCTGCACACAGCAGCTTCTGTTCTTTTGGCTGAATGGGCTCTAGTCCCAGCCCCAGCATTGCTAGCTGTGTGACCTTAGACAAGTTACTTGACTTCTCTGGACCCACAGCCGGGGCAGTGTGGATGAAAAGCTGCCTAGGAGGTTAGAATGCCAAGATCTGCCATGTAGGCCTTAGGCAATGCTGGCTGCAGAGGTTGGGGACATGCCAGGCAGAAAAACCCCAGGTCCCCTTAGCCTTCCTCAAGGGGTGGACTCCTTACATGAGACACCCACCCCAGCCGGTCAGAAGTGGCAAGGCATACCCAAGTGGCCGTGATCTACCCCTTTTAGAGACCTGTTGTCTTGAGAGCCACTCTAATGTAAAGGAGGCATTTTCCAGTGTGGTTTGCAAAGCTGCCGGGTTGGCAGTCCTGGGTTGAGCCTTAAGATCCTACCCCAATCATAAAAAAGAGAGGGAAGGCAGAGCCTTAGCCCCATCACCTCGGGTGCTCTTTCAGTGAAAATAAACTGTATTGAAATAACAGCATAAGTATTGTTTAACTTAACTGATTATTAATTATAAGCATTTTAACTCTGAATACCATATAAAGAAATCCAGATACCTGGGTAAAACTGGTACTTTTGTTCCATTTAAGCTTCATTATTATTAACAACTGTAACTGAACCTTAGCTGTCATTAGCTCCAAGACAATCAGTTCTTTTCCAGACCCGCAGGGCCCTGGCCTGGACACAGGTTCCACCAGTTCTTTGGGCTTTGCTATGAAAAAGCCTTGGCGGGGGTTGTGCTTTCTCCCTGAGCTCAGATCCCTGGAACTTTCCTTCAGCCAGGGTGCTACAGAATCCCTACCTGCCCCTCCACTTCAAGAATGGCCATGTCTTGCTTCATTTTTCCTCCTAGTCAGAGAAGACTCTCCTTAACCCCCTTGGAATCTTCCTCCCCACTGCTTTAGACTCAGAGTGACACTCACAGCTTTTGCATAGACTAAAGATCATCTCTCATCTAATTGGACGTTGTAATCCAGCCCTGCTAAAATTTAGTGGGGTTACCCCCCATTTTAATAAAGAAGCCAAGCCTCGTCCTCCCTGACTGCTTCGTACAATTTCACAGACTTCCTCCTAACTACATGCCAGTAACAAAAGACGCTGACCTCTTTCCAGAAATGCCTTGCTGTCCTGCTGGGTTTCCAGGTTGGTAAAGCAGTGAGTGTAACCCACCCATATACTCTATTCTCACTGCCTCTGTCCTGCACTTCGCTCCCCATTTTTCTTGGCGTATTTCTTATACATCTTTATTTAGTCTTAAAAAGAGCATAGAAAGAGATGTCTGTTCAACAAAATCTGAAACCAAGGGGTATGTCTGCCACAAGTGGGCATCCCACACCAGGCCACTGTCTGGGAGGCAGAGGGGAAGGGGCAGGGAGGACTTTAGGGACATCTGAGCCTCCACAAGGATAGGCTCAGACAGCCAGGCACCCTGTGAAGCTCTGTCACCCGACAGGGGTCAGGGTTTTTGACTGGACTATGCTGGCTTTGGGGTCCCTGATGAGGGTCACTCAGCTTTCATGTGCCTCAGCATTCTAGTCCCTGAAATGAGCTTTCCCCACCACCCTGGGCCAGTACTTAACAGAGACCCAACTTATTTCCTGCATTGAGTTTGGCAGATGTTGACACTTTGTCTCCAGTGGGGCTGTTGACAGTCCAGGTTCTCATGTGTCTCTGCGCATGAGCACAAACCGTTTCCCTCAGGCCTGAGGCTGCTGCCACCAGCATAGGGCCTGATTGTGGTGGGGTCCCAAGGTAAACAGCACTCTCAGACATGGGCATTTTTGTTTGGGACAGAAAAAAGCCATATCATGCTAAGTCTTTGAGACCTGGACCCTTCACCTAAAATGATCAAAGGCAAATGTCAGACTGCCAAGTGCATCACAGACCTCACCCTCAAACTCTCAGTGGGTCTTACCCCGCAGATGGTCCCACTGGCCCTCTGGCATACCTGAGGCTGCCCATCTGGCCAAGTAGACCTCCACCTGTGCCCTCCTCCTACCCATGTCAGGCATTGTCTTTCTGACAGGGACTCAAACTTGGTTGGCACCCCCAAAGACCACTCATGTTTCTACCTGCCCTGGCTGTGAACCTAGCTCCTAGAGCACAGCTTCTGTTCCTCAGAGCCAGATTTCCGAGGTGGCCTGTTTCCTCCAGAGAAGAAGCCGAAGCCACTTCCAGCCAGAGGGAGCAGGGCTCTCGGTGCCCTCAAAGGGTGGGTGGGGAACTGCGTTGTTGCAGGGCCAGAGCAGGCCTCTGCTGAGACTTGTCTTCACAACAGCTGGGTGCAGAAATTACAGCTTCCTGGTGACGATCGGCCCACTTCGCATGGCAACACAACGTGTTCCTAATGACTGAATTGTTTATTTAATAAAGAAATCACAACCATTTGGATGTTTAAATATAGCCTCTCAGAAACCCAGTGAGCTCAGCTCCTGGTGGCTGCATGGTGCTGGCACCAGCCCAGGCTCTACACCGCACGAAGCCTTTAGCAATAGCTTGAAGAAAAGCCTTTTGCAAGATCTCTTGAGTTTCACTGACCCTGCTATATTTTCTTGTCTCTACTTGGCTTTGAATAGAAGCAGCTGGTTATGTAAAAGGCAGAAATAATTCACAGGTTCTGAATCAAACAGGGAAGGTTAAAGGTTGCCCCACCTTACTATTATAGGCAAAGGTGATGAAAGGGGACCCCCTTTTCTTGGGTTCCCCTCTGTCCAGAAATCCCAGGAATTGTAAGGATGGGTCCTAGAGGTGGCTCTTGGGGACTGAAATATAGCTCATCCCATTTGAGAGCCTTTTTAGCTCAAAATAGCTTTCAGAGCCAGCAAAGCCCTATGACTTTCCAAGCAAAGCTGCCCTTTTCCTGCCTTTTCTAGGCAGTTAGGGCTCTGTCACTTAGGCTTTGTGAAAACCCAGGGCTCTGTCTTGCTGCAGAGTTCTTTGGCCAGAAGCCATATTCCTTAAGTTGCCCAAAGACCCTATCCTTACGCCATGCCCACCCCCAGAGATCAGCCCCCCAATAAAGACAGTGCACAGTGTACAAGAGTTTATTTAATGATATCTGGATTTAGTTCTATCATGTGGGGCCCACATTACAAGTTCCATCTGGGTCCATTACAACTCTAAAAAAAAAGAAAAGAAACTTAAAAAAATCCACAACTTTTTCCATGTCATTAAATATATTCATATATAATAACCATAATATATTAGTATGCATTGGAAAGGAACACTGACCCAAACAATATGTCATGGTCACAACTAAACATTTACAATTCTGAGTGAACAGAAATCCAAAACGCAGGAGGGAGGTGAGGGAGGCTGGGGAGTGCATGTGGGACAGGGAGGGAGTCCAGTGGCGCAGGAGTGGGACTGGCTTGGCTTTTGGCAGGAGTGGAATGAGGCCCCACAAGTACACATTTGGATACCCCTGGGGTGCACCAAGGCTGTGGCCTAGTGACACTGTCAATGTAGCTAGTTCCTCTCTCTGGGCTTCAGGGGGGCTTTAAGTGTTGACAGCCTAAACTTTTTTCATTTTCCTAAAGGAACCATCACCCACTGCCTTAGGGTCTCTCCTTGATTTCAGTCTCATTCCAATCTAGGGTAATAAAAGTCTATACCCATTCCTTCATGGTACTACTGATTAAGAGTTCTAAAAGGTCACTCACTCAGGGCCTTGGGGCAGCTCCTGGCCTCCCTAGGCTGTGACCCCAGGTGTCACTCCCTCCTGCCCTGCTTTCTAAGGACAGAAGCCATAGGCAAAGACTGTATCCTGCAGGTGAGCCTAGGGGACGGCCCTATGTCCCCCCCCATTCCCTTTACCCCAGATCTTCAACTTGACTGTGTCAGCAAGGCAGGCATGTGGGGGTCAGGAGCACTAGACCACCCAGCTGATAAAAAGGACAACTGGGGAACTTGTTTCAAAAACAAAAAACTAATCTGGCATGTTTTTTTTCAGACACATATCACAATTCTGGTTAATACACTCTTCAAAATCAAAATCTAGTTCTGTTTTACATCCCTTCCTAACTGTACAAACCGGAGCACTTCAATTCCTATTTCCATCTCCTCCCTGGGGTCAGGGTGGGGTGGAAAGGGGTGCTTTCCCCAGGATGGGTCCTCACTGCTGAGGATATAGTCAGAGGAGTTGGTGTGCTGGGTTCTGGCGGGGGGCTGTGAGCTGGGCAAGGCAGCTCATGATTGTGCAATCCCAACAGTGACCCTGTCCCCATCCTGGCAGGTCTGATCACATTGATACATTCCCCAAGGGTGAGGCTGTGGGAGGACAGCCTTTGCCTTTGAGGTGCTAAGCCGGAGGAGAGACTGGAGAATGGGTGAATTTTCAGCAAGATGCAGTGTTTGGCAGGCCTCTGGCTCCGCTGTGAAGAGGGCCACCAGTGCAAGCCCTTTACCAGACACGGGGTGAGACTTAGGAGGGATATGATGGGACTTCCTCAGTCCTCCTGGGTAGGGTCGAAAAGCCACATGGGCATAGATAGCAAGAGAACAAACACCCTGGCAGCACAGTGCTCAGTAACCCACCCTGGGTACCAGAGACAGGCTGACAGCTTGGAAAGAGGCCCCCACCTCAAGCCGTGGACTTAGATTCAGAGAAGCCAAATACCCCTTCCTAGAGCAGTTCCATCTTACCCTGCCCCTGAGGTACTTCTCCCAGTCTCTCCTGGAAACTTTCTACCCAAGCACCCCAAACCACCTTTCTACCACCTCTTAGGAATAGCCAAGTCTTGCCTTTCTTGAATGTGGGGCTGCCCTCTGGCAAGCCCATCCCTGCTTCACCCAACCTGCTTATGGCCACCTCTGAAGATACTACTGTGCCTGGCCCCTACCCTGGCTCCTGTGGTCCAGACTAGATGTCTGGGTCCTCCGGGCAGTACCCAGGGCTAGGCTCACTGTGGCAACTCTTCCAGGAACGCCGCCCCCCCCTGCCTGCACTCAGAAGGCCTGAGTCCCAGTCCTGCCACTCATTTGTGGTGTGACCTTGGCCATGTGTACTCTAGTTTCCTCACTGGCGAAAATCCCTGTCCCATGGGGTTGTCATGAGGACAAGAGGAGTGCAGGTGGGTAAAGTGCCTGGCACAGAGCAGGTGTTTGTATATAGCAGCTGTGACTCAGGCAGAAGTGAGGGATGCAGAGGGAAGACAGACCAGCAAAGGGCTGAGCTTCATACTTCTTGGTATGACCCTTTTGAGCAGCCAAACTGGCAGAGAAAATGAAACCAATTTCCTGACAGAGGAGAGCTGGGCCTCTAATTCAGGGTGTGAGGACTTGGGCTAGAGGCCCCTGGGCAGTGCAGAAAGCTCAGGCAGGAAGCCAAGAGGCCCTAGGGCACAGGAACGGTTCCCATGGGAGGCAATCAGACTAAAAAGGGGTACCTGCTTCAGACAGTTTTGGAAAGAGAACTGGGCACACCAGAGGGCAGGGGTGGCCTCTGGAAAAAAGCCAACCATAAAGGAGTGGGCAAGGTGCTGCTCAGGCCAGACCAAAATGGCTATAGAGGTTGCACCAGAGCCAGAGTAGCTATAGCAGGCTTTCTTGGCCCAGCAGCCTCTGTCACTTCCCTGGGAGAGCCAGGAATAGGGGTAAAGATAGGAAGATGGTCTTGGCTTCCCTGGCCTCCAGGAGCCTGGTCACTCCTGCCCCTGCCTGCCCATCTGCTGAGCCAGCAAACCCTGTCCGGACTCAAGCAAGCCCCTGGCCCAGTTGCCCTCATAGCCTGCATATTCCACGCCTGCCCAGGCCCTTTCCAGCTGTTGACATTGCTGAGGGGCCTTGTGGGAGCTGATGTCATTACACAAATAGTGTCACTGCCGTAAACCCAGCCAGCGCCCCTTCCCCCTCCCCTGGAAAATATCATAAAAGGGGCTAGTTCCAAGTTTCCAAAAAGGAAACTCTCTGGGAGGTTTTGCCTTTGCAATTCCTCCTCCATCAGGCAGTTCTGGGCTCAAGGCGGTGACCACCCGGCTTGGGCTTCTCAGGGGTGTCCTTGAGCCCACTGCCCTCTGGATGGGCCGGCCTTCCTCTCCTCCACAGATGGCGAACCTCCCCACCCCAAGATCCCACCCCATAGAACCAACGCAGCAGGTGGCAGTGGAGGCCAGAGGCTGCATGCAGGCTGCCAGCTTCTGCCCCAAGAGCCTGCAGGGCCCCTCCGGAGGAGGCCCAGGTTGTCACAGCCAGGCATCCGTGGGTGAAAGGAGGTGTTTTGTCTTTTGTGTTGGGAGTGGTAGTTTGGTTGGGCTTGCCCAGCACCCCGCCCAGGCTGCGGGCCTGAGAATTCACAGTTCTCACGTGGCCCCCTTCTCTGTAACTATCCACGAGCCACCTCTGGGGGCCCCAGTGCGGCTGTGCGCTTGACCCCCCAGCCCCTCCACCGCGACCCCACCTAGCCCCAGGGAAGCACGTCTCTGCTCTGGAAGGAGCCCGTGAGGTAGCTACGTCTCTTCCTCATTTCTCAGGGGCCCGGCCTCTGCGCACCTGCCGGGTGAGCGCTCAGCTGGGCCTGGGGCGCGCACACGGGGCTGGGGGTGGGGCCGCCGAGGGCCCCGCCCCCCGCGCCGGCTGCGGTCCCGCCCCCACCCTCCCCCAACTTGGGAAAGCCCTTGCGGGCTAAGTCCACCGCGGCTGCGGCCGGGGCCTCCGGCTCGCGCTCGGCCCTGGCGCCCAGCCTGCCCGCCCGCGCCCGCCGCACCGCTGCTTCCCGCTAGGCCTTCTTGCACTTGCCCTTCTTCTCCCGCTGCTGGAATTTGCGCAGCCGCCGCGCCCACGTGTCCCGCCACTGGATCACTAGGCTGCTCTTGTCAGCCACGATACCACTCTGGTCGGGAGAGTCCTCGGCGTTGCCCAGCAGCAGGTACTTCTTGAGGGGCTTGATCTTGGGGCATTTGCAGGCGATGTCCCGTGATCGGATCCACAGGTTCTGGTCACCGCGGCGGATGCGGCTCGTGCCCTGCTTGTACACTGAGATGATGTTCACCGTGAACTTCCACCAGTCCCCCGCTTTGTCCGCCTTCAGGATGTGGATCTGCACGGCTGCAAGGAAGCACAGGCAGGAGGGTGGGCCACAGCAAGGGCGTGCAGCATGGGTCCCCTGCTCCTGTGGCCAGGTCAGCCCTGCCTGCTCCTCCCTCTCCCAGAGCCCAGGGAGAAGGAAAGGGAGAGCCATCACTGAGAAGGGACTGCAGAAGGTGACCCACAGGGGAATGGGTGGGTGGTGGCAAAGCTGATCCTGCAACCCCACCTGCTAATACCTGGGCCAAGGCCACTGCTCCAAGAAGCCTTACTTCCTGCCTGTTTTGAAGGTACCCCCTAGCATTGCCTTGGCAACAGTCTCCTTGGCAATTGCCAAGGCCTACTATGGTCCAGGAAGGCCAGGGAAGCCTACAGGTACTGACCATGACCCCAGCACTCTGGGCAAGGTCCATCTACCCAGGACTGGTGCCTTCGGTGAAAGCAGTGCTGGCCACTCCTCACAGTCTGAAGGAGGAGGACCCTCCTCAGGTCTCCCGATTGCCAAAGGCCCCAATTAACCCAGGTCTCATGACACAGCTTTGCTCTAGGTAGCCTCAGGAAACTATAATGGGGGCCTCAGTGCCCAGAAACATAGGATAAGAACCTGCCCTTCAAGGAGACTATCAAGCCTTTCCACAGCCCTGGGTCCTTGCAGTGCCCCCCTCCCATGCCTAAACTGTCTCCACCAGCTTGCATCTCTCAAGCTCCCCAGGCCATTCCTCTTCTTTGTCTGCCAGTTACTTTGCCCAGTACAAGGGTTCCCAAATTGGAACGTGCATCGGAATGTGCAACTTGTGAAAACAAATTGCTGGGCCCCAGAATGTGAAGTGAATTTCTCACAGAGTCCCTGGTGGTGCTGCTGCTGCCGTGCACACTTTGAGAATCAGTGCCTTGGTAAAATGTTAACAGATAGTATTTCTGCAAGATAGTAAGAGGTATTTAAGAAATAGAAAAAAAAATTTTTTTAAGGCAATTTTCTTCTAGTAAGTTCATGAAATAGGAGGTTAAAATCAAGGGGTTTCTTGCTACAGGACTTTTCAGAACCTTTAGTCAATGAATTGTGTGCATGTGTTGGTTTCTCAAACAACTTGGCTGCAAAAAACTCTTTGGTACATCTCAGAGCCTCATGGGGCCTATTTGGAGCAACAGGATCATTTCCACCAGTCCAGATGTACCAGGGGAGGCCTGTGCAGCACTCACCTCTGCTCAAAGCAAACTTAGCTATCTTCCCCATCCCCATGTCAAAATTGAGCCCTTCTTCTTGCTAAGCCACCTGCCACACCCTGTGCCCTTTACTCCACTGAGTTTTGTAGCCTGGAATGGGCCACTGATGGACTTGAGCCCTCCTAAGAAAGGAGCAGTAGCCTGAAGACACAGACACAGCAGGCTCCGTGGCTCAGCAGCCACAAGGACACAGGGAACACGCAGCTGTCAGTGGTCATTACCTCCCAACCACTTACCACTCCAAGCAATGAGGCCACCCCTAGCTCAGCCTGCCCTCCCATGCTGGCCAGCTTCTCTCAAGGTCTGTGGGGGCACTCTGCTCCTTCACTCCCAATGCCCCCCATCCCCTCTGCCCGCATTTGGCCCAAGAGGATGGGGAGGGGCAGTGACAGCTGGGCTTAGGGGCATCTACTGCCATCCCACTCATCCTGCTCGGGTAAAGGAAGTGGCAGATTTTCCCATATTTTCATTTCAGCTGTTCCTGGGCATCCTGAACTTTGCACTCCAGTCTGAGAACTCCAAAGAATGGCTGCCATGGCAACTGTTTCCATGTTTTTGTCACCAAGAGACTCAACACTCAGTGTGAACTCTGGGCTGGGGGGAGCCCTCCAGCCCAGAGAAGTGGCTGGGCCATGTGTATTTGACTGTGCAGATGGAGGTCACCGTGGCAACTGAGTGCCCCTTAGCTAAGCAATGGGGAGCCACCCCCAGCGTTCCTGAGAGCCCCAGTTTCCTCTCCCTGGGACTGAGCTGAATACACAATAAGCCTCCCTCTGGCTGCTTCTCTGTGAGGCACCTTGGACCCCTGGGGTCCAATCACAGTGTGCTCCCAGGCAGCCTGGGCTGGCCCAATAAGGATGCTGCACAGGGTACCTCTGACCCAGGTCCCTGGAGAACATGGCTTTGATTTCTAGGCTCTGAGCATTTTTTGATGCCATGGGCTGAACAGTGTTCCCACAAATTCGTCTATTGAAGCCCCAATCCCGTACATTTCAGAGAGGGATTATATTTAGAAATAGGGTCTTTAAAAAGGTAATCAAGATGAGGTTATTAGGTGAGCCCTAATCCAATGTTACTGGTGTCCTCACAAGAAGAAGAAGTTAGGATGCAGACACACAGAGGGCAGTCCACGTGATGACATGGGGAAGGTAGCCATCCACAGCCAAGAGAGAGGACTCAGAAGGAACTAGCCCTGACACACCTGCTAGCCCTGCCAGGCAGACTTCCTGGCTTAGACAAATTCCTGGGTTTAAGCCTCCAAGTCCCTGGGGCTCTGTTCCAGCAGCCTTAGAAACAAACACAATCTTGAGGGCTCTGGGCATCTTGGGCCTCTGCTTGGGGCCACAAAGGCAGGCATACCTGGGAAGGTCTCTTAGTGTTGCTGAGAAGAAGTCTGAGAAAAAAGCTGGCTGAACAATGCCTAGCCTTGGACACCGCCCCCCACCAGGGGACCTTGTTGATCCCTGAGGGACCTGTAACAGCATGGCCCTTCCTCACAGAAGGGCTGGGGACCTCGTCCCACCTTCCCTGGTCTCTGGGTGTCCTCATTCCCTCAGTGAATGTCCTGGAAAACCATCCAGGGCAGTCACCTGCCCAGCACAGCCGGCACAGGCCTAAAAGGAACAAAGCCCTGAAGGGGACCCTCCCACGGACACCCTGCTGTCTTCAAGTATCCAGAGGGACAAAGCAAAGGACACTAGTGAATTGAGACAAAACTGGCCCTTGTCTTCTTTCTACCCAGATAAGACCCCAGCACTCCTGGGGTGGGACAGCACAGACCCAGGGCAGGGGAGGGTGGTGGTGGGACTCATGTGATTATGCTGGAAAGGAGCCACTTCCTGCTGCCCTTGGCAACACCTCCCCACATGACACAGCCCACCAAATATGAGCTGCACACACAGTGCATGGGCCAAGTCCCTGCAGTGCACACACAGCTGAAAATACTCAAAATACACATTGCAACAGTGACCTCCAACAGACCTGCCCCATGCCCTCAGGGAGCACACTCATTGGCAGCCACATGGCACACCTCCGAGGAGGCTGCTGTCACCTCTGACCCGCTGCTGGCTCATAGCAGGGAATGAACGGGGTCCTCTGTGCTATGTGGACCTCAGGGCCTTCCAACCCAGAAGTGCCTATGATGTTGCCCAACCAACGGGCTGGGCACATGGACTACAAGCAGCTCTCCCATCCATAGCTTTGGCTGGACCCCTCATACCCTGCCAAGGTCTTAGTGTTGATGTTTCTCCCAAGTGCAAATGTTGGACCCTAATACAGAATGTGAAAATATGAAGACATGGGGCCTTTGAGGAATGATTAAGTCATGGGGACTCCAGCCTCATGAACAGAATTAGAACTAGGCAAGAGAGCTAGCTTTTATCCTTTATCCTATGAAATAAGGATAAAAGCTAGCTCCCCTGCCCTTCCTGCACAGCAAGGACACAGCAAGAAGTGAGACTTTAGTCTCAAAGAAAAAAAAAAAAAAACACAAAGAGTGGGCTATCACCAGGCACCAAATCTGCTGGCACCTTGACCTTGGGCTTCCCAGCCTCCAGGACTGTGACCAATATGTTTCTATTGTTTATCAACCAATCTAAGATACTGTTATAGCAGCCTAAACTAAGACACAACCACACAATGAAATCACCCCTGGCTAATTAGCCTCAGCCCTGAGGATATCTAAACTCCATTGTCCTTGCACTAATATCCTAAAAGTTGTTCTCAACAAGGCTGGAACATGGGACTGTTAAAGACCACCCCCCCAACGCCCTCCCCCAACCTATAGTCAACAATAGGCACATGAGGTTACCCTCAGCAAGGCAAACTGTGAAGTCAGACCAGAGAGATAATAGGCACATGGGACCCTTTAAATTAGAGACTACAGGTTTATAGGAAAAGGGTCACTACCTTACACCCAAATGGTCATTCTCCGAGGCGGAGACGAGGGTGTCTGTGTGGTAGGCACTGGCAGGCTCTGCTTGGGGAGGAGTGCCAGCCCACAGCCTGCTTCTGGCCCCACTATATGTGGCAAGTGGCTCCATTTCGGGATCCACACTGCAAATTCCTCCTCTCAGCCTGTGTTCCTTCCACAAAAAAGAGAGCTCAGGCTGCTACTGCTCAAGTGAGCAGGTGTGTTTGTCCCACAGGGCTGTCCCCAGGGAGGGCTCTGCACCCAGTACAGACACAATCAGGGCTGGGACAAGGGAACAAGAATGCTCGTGGCCAGGTTAGGCTGAGTGCATGTCGAGCTGTGCCCTGGTATACCGGGGGTGGAAGCAGGTCTGCAAATGGAACAGAAACCCAATGAAAAGCAAGAAGAGTGGGTGCAGGCTCCAGAGAGGCTAGGAGTTGAGGTTTGTCCCTTATCTGTACACTAAGCTCTTCCCTGCAGCCAGCCACAGAACTCCTTTAACAGGGAGGGAGGGAGGGTGGGCAGCAGCCCCTCTCCCGAATTTTGAGGTTCAGAGAAGTCATTTCATTCAAAACTCTCTCAGCCACAGGGCAGGGTTATCCACGAGGACTGACTTCTCTTGCCCTAACCTGTTGCCCTGGCTACCAGGGGTATGCACCTTCCTCAACCCCTTAGCAGAGGCCTGTATTGGGTTCTGGAAGGCTGACTGGGACTCTAAGGAGATAAGGAGGTTGAGGGTTGGCCCTGTGGGGACCAGAGTCAGCAAGGGCAGCCTGTGCCGCAGTGGGGGCAGGGGGTTAAGAAGCAGGCCCAGGGTAGGCTGGGTGCCTTGATCACTTACTTCCCTCTTGGGCAAGGAGGGCAGCATTCAACCTGCTGAGCCCTGAGGCTCCTTTTGGCTGCTGCTTGTGCATCTCTGGTTGCAGTGTAAAGCACCAGCATATCTATCTTCCATAGAAGCAGGCAGCTGGCCATTCTTCCTGGGGTGCTTCAACCCAGGTATCTCAATGTTGGGCAAATTACCAGGCCACCAAAGGCAACCTGAAAAGTAGGGAGCTTCAGGTCACAACCTGTGCTTGGTTTCCTCAAAAGGGGGACTTGCAGCCCCAAGGCAGACTTGTCTTCCACCTAATAGCCCCAGTTCATCCAAAACCTGCCTGCCTCCATCCCCAGCTCCAGTCCTGGCCTATGGATGCCCCTAGCTGCAGGTTTGGGGAACCTCTTGCTGGGATCAAATCTCCCTACCTGGTCAGGCTGTAGCAGAGCTGTCCAGCCAGGAAAGTTACAGATGCTGCTCATTCAACTGCTTGTTGGGAACTGACGTGTGGCAGGAAAAGCCCAGACTCAGGATAAACTACCTGCTGGGCTAGGCTGGGCCTGGGGGAGCAGCATGGCACAGACTCTGGGGGGCTACTGGCCTTTCACTCCCCAACAAGGCCTGAGCACATGAGACATCTCTGTAGGGAGGCTTCCTGCCTCCTGGAGGTCCCTTAGATTTATGAGCTACTCAGGGTGGCGGGGTATTCAGCCCCTTCCCTTCCCCCAGCCACATCTTCCTTCTAGCGAGGGAAGGCTTGTCACCCATCTGCCTCAGAGATAACAGCCAGGACAAATGAGGAGAGGATGCTACCCTCACAGAAACCATTAAAACCATGCAGCGCCATAAATCTCCTGCTACAGAAAGCGTGTCATGAGCTGCAGCTGCTTTCATAAAACCAGTTCCGACCACATGCTTCCCAGGCCCCGGCAAAGGTAAGAAAGCACCAAGCAGAGCCAAGTCTTGTTCTCAGGGATGCTAATCTGTCCAGAGAAACAAAGAGTCTCTGCCGTGGAATGCAGGACAGTGAGGCCAACACACCGACGCCTGGGTTTCACACTGGCCCCTGCCTGGTGTTTATTATCAAACAAGTGGAGGGCTGGAGGCTGATGGCCACCAAACCCAACATAGCCACCACAGCCCCCTGGGTGGCTTCAGGAATCCCAGGACTGCTTTCCCTTCCCCACGGCCCTGTGTCAGGGCTTGGACAAGGTGGGAACAACCAACTTAGGGCTGGATAAAGGCTTTCTTCCCAAACAAAGAAGGAATGGTGTGCTCCTCTCTCTTGCAGCCAAAAGCAGCATGTGCTCCTTTCATTTCCCCTACCAAGTCCCAGGGCTTGGGCTCTGATTTTAGGAAAGGAGAGGGGTTAGATGCCTGAACAACCACCTGGCTGCTTGGGGATACCCAGAAGAGGGGACATCCAAAGGTATAAGAACTGGAGAGCCAGACTCTGGGGACGACATTAGCCCTGTCCCCTGGAGATGGACATAGGCTGGTGTGGCCAGTACAACTGTACCCCAGGCTAACAAGTGAGAAGAGGGCAAGGGACTGACGAACTGCTTTGCAAGAGGCTCAAGCAGGGGAATGAACCTGGCCCTAGCCCTGCCCCCTCACCATGAGGGCTGGTCCCCCGCAGAAGGACCAGGGAGGACATGAGGGCTGACTCCCTCTCCTGGCATGACCCAGTGTTTTGCCCCCCACCACAAACAAGGATGGGGCTGCCAAGGAGCCATCCTAGAGGACAGGTAAGGATCCCCTTCCCCAGAGGGCCTGGCATAACCTCCAGAGCTGCCCAACCACCCACACCTGCCTTAGTTTTCCCAGGCTAGTGGGGGAGGGTGGTGGTAAGGACAGGGAGCAGCTGGGAGAGCAGTGAGCATCTCCCTCAGCCAGCACCCTTGGCAGCAAACAGTCCTGGTCCCTGAAGGAAGTGAAGGTAGAAAAGGACTGGTCATCCTGACGTGGCCTTGTCCAGTCCCCCATCACCTCCAGGTCTCTGTGGGGCTAAAAGAAAGTCTGGTGTGGAGCTCTGGCCAGAGGCCCCCCAGGACTGCACATTTATCCTCCCACCACGGAGAGGAATGGCCTGAGAAGCCCTCAGCCAATGGTCCTGCCCACAACCCATTCCTCCATGGAGGCTCCAGGGAGCCCCTGTGCACGCACCCTTCACCCCTGGACGGGC